CCCCTCCGCCCAGGGCTGCTCGGCCCGCCCCGCCCGCGGGCACCTGGAACGCCAGGACAGGAGCCGGCATGCACTCCGCCCGCCCGTCCTGTCCTCCCCCCAGCGAATTCCCCGAATTCCTGCGGGCGGAGCCTGGGCCCCGTGTGGGGGCTCAGCGCGCGGAAGCCTGCAAGGGCACGGCCACCGAGGGGGGAGCAAGATGGGGGATGCTCTCACTGCCCCAGGGCCCCCTCCCAAAGAGGCCTGCTGCCTCGAAAAACCGTGACTCTAAAGCCTGGGGAACTGGGGCTCACGAGATAATCAGGGAGGATTAGAATTCAGCAGGATAAGGAGCCCCTGGTCCATTTGAAACCCACTGGGAAGGGGAAGTCCCTCTAGCCTTTCCTAGCCCCGCGTCTCCGCCTCCGACCACCTGGCGCCGGCAATTTGGGCCGTCGGGTCAGTGAGGTACAGAATGTGGTGACGGGTCCCTTTCTTTCCCTAACCCATTTCTCTCACTCACCGAAGTAGTCCTCTCTGGCCTCCGGCTCCCGCATTCGGGGTCGGGTGGCCTCGGGAACGAATGCACCCGGCGGCTCGTCGAGACCAGACGGCTCAATCCCCAAGGGATCCCCACGGGCACCGATCTCACGTCCACCTGTGCCCACCGTCAGGCGCAGCAACGCTGTTAACTCATCCTGATATCGGGCACCCGCAGCGCAGTCCCCGTAGCCGGTCACCGAATGTCGTCCGGGTTGCGCCCCTCGCCTCTCCAAGGGCCCTGCCGCTCCCACTCCAGCCCCGGCTAGAGCCCCAGGGCTGCCCAGGGCCGGGGGATACGAGTGGCGGCTTTCCTGGCAGCCAAACCCCGGGGGCCGGTGAGTGCAAAGTCGGTCCAGGGCAGCGTGGAGCTCTGGGTAAGCGGACTGCACCCCTCCAGGGGAATAGCCCGCAGGAGCCCCTGCCAGAGGCGGGCCAAACAGGCATGGCCCGACAGGCAGGGGACTGCCGTGGCGCTGGTCGTAGCCCATGCTGATGCCACTGGTACGATTGCTGCAGGGTCGGCTACCTCCGGCTCCGCCAGCCCCCGCCCCGTCCAGCAGCAGGCTGCCTCGGGGGCTGGATGGCTTGCTTGCGTCGCTGGCTGAGCTACTGGCGAAACTAGAGCGGGGGCTTAGAGCTGGGGCCGTGGTCTCCAGTCGAAAGTCTGGGGTCATTGACTGAGGTAGAGGCAAGGCCCGGGTGGGAGTCAGACCTCCGGAAAAGGAGCCGTCGTAGCGCTGCGCCTCAAAGGAGCCGCGCGGGTTCCGCTCAGCGTCCAGGGGGCCTTGCTCCCGGGCTGGCTCCAACGGTTCATCCCCAGGTCCCCCGGTAGCTCCACGGGGCCCTGATTTCCTAGGTCCCCCCGACCCACTCAGGCGCCCTTTGCCCGGCCCGGGGGTCCCATCAGACCGGCTAGATTCACCCTTCCTGCGGCCGAACTTAGCGCTGCCGGAGTCCGAGAGTCTTAACTTCTCCAGCAGGCGACTGGCTTTCTCTCCTAACCGCTCCATGCCGTCAGGCCTGGGGCCTCCAGCCCCCTCCCCGCCCGGCACCCTGCAGCGTCTCCGCAGCTGCTGCTTTTTCTCCCGCTGCCGGACTCCGGTTCCCTAGGGGCACTGGGTAGGCACACGGATTTAGCGGGTGATCCCGATGCCCGGCGCCAGGAACCCCCCAGCATCCCCCAGCAAGAGGAGCTACATCCCCCCACGCATCAGGAGTTAAGCAGGGCTTGAAGGGGCTACGGCTGCGGCTGTCCCGTCTGCAAGTCTATCCGTCCACGCGTCCACTTGCCCTGCCGTCCCACTCTTCCTGACCCCCGCCCCCCCTCGCTCTCACACTCAGCACAGACCGAACTTCTCTCCCAAACTTTTGTCTGCCTGGCCGGATCTACTTTCCTGGAGGGGCGGAGCACCGAGTGCACGAGAAACGGAGGGGGGGGTGTCTGCGCAGGGATCTCTGGTGTGCTGAATGGGGCGGTGGGAGGTGGGAGCTGGTGCTAACTGTTCTGGAGGTGGAGATCCGCCACTAGAAAAGGAGAGGAGGGCAAGTTTGGGCAGTTGCTACAACATCACTCAATAATTGGGACAGGAAAAAGTTAGGGTGGGACTCTTTGTTTGCAGTTGGAATGCTCGGAAGGGCACTATGGAATGTCTTGGTCCAGCCCGACACAACGCGAGGCTTGCTCTGCACAAACACCGGGACTTTTTCCCTAGTGTGGGGACTGGGAAAGATGAGACACTGATGCAGAATTAGTGAGACAGGGAGGGATCCATAAAGAGAAGGACAGAGAGAAAGAAGAAAGGTAGATACATAAAGACTTTCAGAGATGCCTAGGTAGAGCCCAGAAAGGCGAGGAAGCCCGTATAGAGAGGTAGTGGAAGACAGGTCGTGAAAGGAAAGGGAGCAAAGGGAATTGTGGATGGTACAGAGACGGAAGGATAAACGGACTAAGAAAAAGACAAATTTGTGTAAGTTCAGGGAAAACGAGAGATAAAGAGATAAACTGCAATAAAAAGCACCACTTCCTGAACCCAAAGCTCTGTTTAGAGAGGGAAGGAGCTTTAGTGTCTATGTAAAAGGAGGAAAAAGTTTGGAACTAATTTCTACCTTCAGGTTAGGACAGATAGAGGGATAGACAGACACCCCCTGGTGTTGGGAAATGAGATTTTTAGCAAATATTTCAGGTGACTATGGGATAGAAAGTCTGGTTTTAGAGCTAGGGAATGCCTCCCCCTTGGTTGGCCCACAGGAGATTGGTGATAAAGAGTATGTATTAAGAGAAAGAAAAGAAATGTCATTTAAAGGAGACAGCAAGTGAAAATGATCAGGGTGGAAAAGAGGCTGACATTGGCCATACTAGAAGGATCAAGAATAAGGAAAAGAAGAAACCGTGGTTAAAGCTAAACATATCCAATTAAATACCAGCCAATTGATTTTGTCCAGACTAACAAACACATCAGGGGCAAGGGACAGCGGAAGTAGAATGGAGAACAAAAATGACTCCTTTGTATTTAGGTAGTAAATGAGTATGAAAATTATATGCAAACAAGTCATGCAGATTATTTTTGTCTCAACATCTTAAACACCGTAGCCTTACGGAATGGGGAAGGAAAGGAGATTAGTATCTTTTGGGAAATTAATTTGGCACAAACTATTTGGCTTCTTTGTCCTAGCTGCATTGTTTTCCTGACCTCATCTTTCCTGAGAATCAGCCTCTGTTTCCCCGGTCAGGCTTACAGCTTTTCTGTGATCCAGAGGAGAATTTACAATCAGACTGGAAACAAGGAGGACTGAAAATATTAGTAACAGAGAGAAATTATCAGATTGCATCCAGAACTTGCTGTGAGCAACATCTTCAGAATTAACCCCAGGGCTCTTCCTCCTTTCCTATCTCTAAATGGGGAAGGAGAACCTGAATTCTTCCAATTATTTACATCCAAAATACCCACACAGCTCTAATACTTGTAAGCTTTGCTCCATTGTGGTGAAGATGGGAGAATAAATCTTATGAAAAGTTGAAAAGCCATTAAAGGAGGTCCACCCAGGAGTTGGTGGTGGCAGCAGTGAGCACAGTTGGAATGAACAACCTGTCTTTTCAGGGGATCTTAGGAAGCTGACACAAGGGGGAAGTGGGTACACTGAGGGCATGCTCCAATAGTGCTCACAACCTTAGGGTAACCAGCCCATAGTCTGAACTGGAGCCAGGAGCTTCACAGGCCCTATTTTCCATCCCCAAAACTTTAATTAAGGTCTATATATACAGATATCTGCCAAATCCATATCTCTAGCCCAAACTTTCTTGGATTTAAAAAACTCATCTGAGAAATAGTATCTCTACTTGGTTGTCTCAAAGGCATAAAATACCCTAAACTGACCTCACCTTCCCTGCCTCCTGAAACTGGCTCCTCTAGCATTCCCTGAGTAAATGGCACCATTAACCACTTAGCTGCTTAAGCCAGAAACCTGACATCAACCTATGTCCTCCTCCCTTAGCCTCAAATCCAACTAAGCCCTATTACCAAGTTCTATCCACTCTACTTCCTAAATGTCTTTCAAATCTGCCCTCCCTTCACCACCACTGTCTCTCAGGCTACCATCTTTTCTCTCCAGAACCACCGCAGAAGTCTTACTGCCAAGGCTTTCTCCCTCCAAGCAATCTCATAACCTAAAGGTCAAGTGATTCTTCTAAAACACAGAACTGGAGGGGGGAAAAAGCTGGGGTAAAACACAGAACTGATCAACTCATTTCCTTCTTTAAAACCTTACAATGATTTCTCACTGCCTTGAATGGAAGTCTAAACTCCTTAAGATAGTTTACAAGGTTTTTCTACCTCCAGCCTCTTCTCTCAGCATAATCCCCTCCCCAAACTGTTCTGTAGAAGAATTGTACCTTGTCTGTGCTCTCTAGTACCTGTTGTTCCTTATGTTTGGACACTCTCCTGGCCTCCCTTTCTCTTCTAGTTAACTCCTCCCTATCTTTCAGGTATCAGTTTAAACACCACGCTGAGAAGCCTTTCCAGATCACCAGAGTAGGTTAGCTACCCCTGCTGTATACTGCCAGTGCACCCTACACTCCCTCATCATCACTCTTATCACAGTTTATTTCATTGACTACTTAACTGCCTGGCTTTCTGACTAGATAATAAAACCTCTGATCAGCACCTACTTTGATCAATAGTGTATCTATAGCACACTATCTGACACCTAGTAAGCAATCAATGTTTGTTACATGACTGACTGACTAGAAAGCCATTTTTACTTCTCAATCTATTCAAAATGAACACATTTTGTGTGCTAGCGTGTGCACACACACACACACCTTCCTCAAAATACAGCATGGCTGACAGGACTAAGAAATAGCTTCAGAGCCTTATATACGCACACAGTGGGAGAGCGGGTGCCAGTGAGGCATGGGAACTCTTTAAGCCTTAATTTCCTCATGTGTAAGATGCAAATAATAAAATCTGCTTTATGTAATTCAATAAAACTACATCCTAATTTCCAAAAAGGAATGGAGCCCTTTCTGCTCAGAATGAAGCCCATGACTGAAACTTCCCACCAGGTGGCAGTATTACCCTGGACTGGTCCAGTGCTGCTTCCACTGCAGAGCAAGACCAGCAGTCTTGGGAAAGCAGAAGGTGCAGCCAGGGCTGCTTCCCAAGAGCTTTGAGTGAAACCCGAAAAATAAAACAAAACAAAAAACTCAGAGACCCGGCATATGTCTAGAAGGCCTCGTGTTTCTTAGACCCATTCTCCTCCTTTTCTCATCCCAGGCTCTTCTGAGGCACTGTTTATGCTTAGAAATAAGCATTTTCTGGCTTGCCAATCACAATGGGGTGAGTTTTCCCCCTTTCAGGTAAGTCCTTTCATTCCACCAGAGGTGCCAGCTTCAACTTCCAGTAGGGACTATGTTAATAAGAGAGGCAGACTTGCTTTCTCATACTGAAGAGGACATATCATTATTCTAGGAAGCCCCATAGCCATTTCTGGGACATGGGGAGTGGCAGACGCCATAGCTACTCTTGGTTATAGATTTCACTCATCCTTTTCCACCTTGATTTCAATAAATGAGTTCAAGTCAGGACAGCAGGTTTTGTGGGACTGGTCAAAAGACAGGGAGATAGGTCCATTTTCATCACCTCCCTCATCTTCCTCTTCTTGGAAATTAGGATTATAAAGTTCTGGTGGAAGGAGCTGGGCCTCAGCAGAAGGTAATCGGTCTGAGGGAGGCCCATATACACGGTTGGCTTTAGTGCCATGCTTAGAGTTGGCATCCAGATGGTAGCAGAGCTCTGTGAGGCGCTGGGCCCGGAATCGGGGAGGCCTGGCTACCCAGACACCAGGCTCATTAAGACTGTCCTCTTCATCTGACATCAGCTCTTCTGTCACGTTCTTCCATAGGCGCTGGTCCTCAGGTCCAAAATGCCTCATGATACTGGATCGGTTGGCAAAAAGCTATGGTAGGAGCCCAGGACAGAGATTAAGAAGAGAAACAAACTATGGATTAGGTTTGGGGAGAAGGTTTTGATAGGAAGAAGTCTGTATCCAGGAATATGACACAAAGGTGGAATAAACATTAAGTATGGGCATTCTTTGGTAATTTTTTGTGTTTTTTTTTGTAACTACAAAGCTCTGCTACAAATTCATGCATTTCATTCAAATCAGTGATCTATGTTTGTGTGATTTCCGAAACATAATTGTGGATTATAAAAAATGTAACATCATAATTACATTCCTAATTAGAATTAGTATGTCTGTTTTTGTATCTTTATGCTGTATTTTAACACTTTGTATTATTTAGATAATTTTGCTTTGGTAAAAATTAAAAAGGAAAAAAAAGGCTGTAAAATCTGTGTGGGAGAGAACTCAGCCCCCAAGTCAAATCTTAAGAACTGGCTCAGCCTCCTCCTCCTCTATCTGCCTACATTCCTGGCTCTCAATTCTATTCTCAGATGCCAGGATCTCTGGCCCTTCCCACTGGTGCTTATTAGGGTTTAGAGTCTAGCATCTTGAAAGGAAGGCCTAGAAACCTACCCGGTATCTGCGACTTCGAAGTTTCTTCTCCTCTTTTTCCTTCAGGCCTTTAAAGGGGTTCAGGGAGTTGCGGTACTCACGCCTCTTAGTAAGGAAGTAGGCTACACAGGCACCTGGCAGGGACACAGAAGGGAGGGAGCACGGAGCAGTGGTTCTCAGCTCTTTGTTCTGCCCTAACAGTACTGGCTGGGAGGGTGAGTATCACTATTTAGACGATGAGTTTTCTTGGAGTAATCACTCAAGAGCAAACAAATTTTTTTTAAATCCACTATATTCAAAACTTCCTCTTCGGTTTAGCTCTTCCTGCCCACATCAATCTGTAACACTAACTCCTCCCGTTCCTCCCACTAGAAAACTCCAATGCTTTTGTAACTCCCTTCCCACTCCCCCAATTAAACTAACCCCCATTCTACTCTGCTGATAGTAGATTACAAGTGCTTTTTCAGTGGAAGCTTGCTTTCTTTTTTTCATAAAAAGGTGACCTTATTTGTCACTTATTCACCTTATCTCAGTTGTGCCATTTTGGCTTACACAGTGACAGTCCCTGAAATCTGGGGTCAACCCCACCCACTGTGATCATTAACAGACCAGGTGTCTGAGTCTCAGGGTCCCATTGATGGTTAGAGGCTGCAGGCAGGGGCTGCAGGAGGGTGGGGGGGGATGCTCAAGCCCATAAGCCATGGGGACTGCTGCCCTGATGCCAGAGGCTGTAGCATTTGATGGGTGGGGCCAAGCAGACTGGATGGGGCTGAGGTATCAGATCTCTGCTCAGGACTGGGCATGACAAAGCTACATGGGATATGGTGGTATGCCCTGAACTGGATGTGGACAGAGCCACCAGGTCCATCCTGGTTCTGCAGGTGACTTGCCAGGTGATTTTAAGCAAGTTGCTTCTCTGTCTCCCGGTCAGTCTGTTTTCTGGTTAGCACTGCCAGTGAGAACTCCTAGGAGCCCTCCTGACTCAGACAGGTGTCAAGTTTGCCACCTCTACTGAATTGTGACATTGGCTCTCTTCAGCAGAAGTGTTCTTAATGCTTCAGGGTTAGCTACAGACAAATAACAGAAGAATAAGGAAAAAAGAAAGCCCAGGACCTAAAACTCAGGGACAAAAGGGCTGGCCTGGATTCTGATCTCCTTTTCATAACACCCTAGATTCAGGCCTTATATAAACATCATGCATAATGATGTTCTAGCCCTTTCCTTCTCCCATTTTCATTTCAGTGAGTAGGGGAATAAAAAGGCAATTAGAGATAATCCTGTGAATATTGTAGGTGAGGAGAAGCCAAAAAATTTTTTTTTAATCCACTATTTTCAAATCATCTAAATCATCTCCACTATGCCTCTTCTCTGACCAGGAACAGGGAAAAAGGACAAAATTGAAGTTAACTTGGTTTTTCTCACCTTTCAGCTCCTTATCAGTGTAATTGTGGGGACTGGTCACCAGCTCCTGCTTGAGCTTTTCCAGAAGGAACTTCACTACTGAAATATTCCAAGAGGATTTGATGCTGCCACAAAGAGAAGAGAGTGAATAAGGCAGTCAGCATTTTTGAAACTAGACAAACAGAAGATTTCCAGCACTAATCAACTTTGCAGTAAATTCCTTCATTATTATATTAAAGCAGCCCCTTCAGCTTCCCTCTTCTTGGCAAGGTACATTGTGACCCTTTTCCCTCAAGTGGACCATACCTTTCAGACCCATTGAATCTCTTGTCATTGGTGATGTGGTTATGCACATTGTGGACCAATTTCTAGGGGGGAAAACAAACACAGAATCAAACCAGGAGTGGATATGATGAAACCCTCCTCTGGTCCCTATGGATTGTCCCCATAGGGTTCTCTGTCTGAATCTTTTCTGTCAATGCCCTTTCTTAGCCAAAGAGCCTATCCAAGTTAGTATTTCTAATGCCACACCTCCCCCCCGCCCCAATTAATTTGTATGAAGACTCCAAGATCATCTCTAGTCTCACTTCTGCTCCTGAGGAATTGGAGCAGAGGGTCTCAAACATTTCCACAAACATACTCCCAATAGCAAGGAGAGAACAAATATGCACCAAAGGGCTATTGCAAGTGGACATTTCTTGAAGCCCCCTACTCTTGCAAATTTTAATAATTTCTTCATAATATAACTATATTTCTTTTAATATAAAAATATCTTCTAAAATCTTCTAGCACAATTGATGACCCAGGAAAATGCCCCAGGTATATCCCTTTGCACATTACCACAAATCCCAGGGGTACACACAACTAAAATAACAGAAATGTGAATTGGAAAGGACCCTGGAGACACTGTTGTCCAGCCTCCCTTTCATACCATTAAATAGGCTGTCTTTCAGTTTTGCTTATATACCTTTAATGATGGGTCCTCACTAATTTTCAGTCAGTTTATTCTATTGTTGAACATCTGTTTAAAAATTCTGCCTTAGATGCTCCAAAATCTGACCCATTTTGCCCATAATAGTACCTGAAATATTTGAAGACTGCTTTTCATGTACTCCCAAAGTCTTCTCTTACCTGGCCTAAATACCCCCAACTCCTTTAGCCATTCCTTGTGACAGAGTTTCCAGACAGACTCATCATGAAACTATAAGGCTCCTTGATTTGCCAGTATCTCTCTTACAACATGGTACCTGGAACCAAATCTAACTCATCAGTTGAGGTCTGGCCAAAGAGAGCATTATTTCCCCGAGTGGAACTCCACACTTCTAGGAATGAAACCCAAGATGGTGTTACCTTTCTTAGCAACCCCACTCCTATTCACAGGGTCATAGGGTTCATTCATAGTGAACCTGTCATCAACTCAAGTTCATTTTTCACATGGATTACTATCTCCACCATTCTGCAGATTTTTAAAAAATTTTAATGCAGGATTCAACATTTCTTCCTATTAAATTTAGTTCTGTTGTTTCTGATTATACTTGCATCCCAAGCTCCCATAGTCAATGGATGTTACCCAGTATCAAGCTGATGAGCTCATATGCTGACCTCAAGACTTCAGCTTCATATTCAGAATTGCCCAGTTTACCCTTCTACCTCTATGGCTGACTGACCATATCAACTTAGAAAATTACTGTTAATTCTTTGTGGCTAGGGTCTCTATAAAAAAGGCTATGATGCTAGTTTCATATTTGTTAGAGTTATTTTACCTCTTAGAAGTCCAAATTTAAGGAATCACAGGGGGAATATGTGAATGCTTCAGAAAGAATTTGAAAGTTGCAAAAGAAGAAAGGAAAAAAAAGGAATTACACAGTTTCCAATTCAAGTGTCTTAGAAGAGATGAGCTGATAAAAATCAAACCAGGCTTGAAGTGGAAAGGGAAAATACTCTAGATAATAGTAAGTATTAAGACTGTAAAGGCTGCTGGTTCACCTACCTCCTAAGTGAGCTAAAAATAAATGGATTTCCACAAGGGATGCCTGGGATGTACAGCATTTCAAGGAATTATAAGTTCCAGTTTGGTTCTTTTGGATCCCTAGCAGCATTCCACAGCAGGCTCTCTGATTCCTCCCCATAGTTAAAGGTTGGAATAGCGAAGATCTGCAACGGTTTCTCTCCCTCTAAACCTAGTCTGACACAAGAACATTCTATTTTATTTATTTATTTATTTATTTATTTATTTATTTATTTATTTATTTATTTATTTTAATCCTCACCTGAGGATATATTTTCCATTGCTTTTTCAGAGAGAGTGGAAGGAGGGGGAGGGAGAAGGAGAAGGGGGGGGAGAGAAAAAAAAACCACATCGATGTGAGAGAGACGTATTGATAGTTCCCCAACTGGGCTGGGGATGGAGCCTGCAACCAAGGTACATGCCGTTGGCCAGAATCGAACCTGGGAACCTTCAGTCCACCCTGAGACCCTTCAGCCCATGGGCTGACACTCTAACCACTGAGCCAAATTGGCCAGGGTGAACATTTTAAACCATCTTCTGTGATGGTCAGCAAAGTTCCCTGACTGGTCCTCTAGATCCTTTTCAAGTGCTATAATGAGTGAGCATGCTGTTCCCTCCGAAGGTCTGCTATTCCACCAAGCTCTCCAAAGGGCAGCAAGAAACCAGGCCTTGACAATGGATCTTTTAGCAGAGATAGTAGGTAGGAGAGGAATGAAAATGATAGAAAAATCCCAATTTTATGCAAATGAGAATTATCATACATTTATTCATAACTTACACACTATAAAGTTTGAGGAAATCCCTTGAAATGCCTCCATTTCTATCCCTGGCAACAAAAGTGGACCTCTTAGGCCAGAATCCATGATAATGAAACTAAACCCACTCTTTGTTCTTGATAAGTGAGATGTCCCTCACTTATTTGAAATGAAAGTTAGAAACAAGTTGATACTGGTTTTCCTAGGGAAAAAAATCCCTCAATGTAAAAACAAATCAAATGAAAGGGAGAGTAAAAGTAGTATCTCTTAGAAAAAGGAAAAGGAAGAAAGAAGTAATGTAAATAAGGGAGGTATAAACGTTTTCAATCTTTGCTAAGACTGTAACAAGAAGAAATGGGTGATACTGTATACTGTGATAAGATTTCGGTTGGATGTGAGTGGCGATCTCCACTCCTAACCAGAACTCTCAAGTTACTTCATCAGCCATTATTGAGGGCATGGAAACCCATTACAGTCAATATGAACATTATATGGCTAAAGAACATCCCCATGGTTATCAGAAAGATGTTTTTGGGCACAGAGTTGATCCAAAGGACTGTGGTCAACCTAGAACAGGTTTCTCAACCTTGGCACTACTGACATTTTAGGCCTGGATAATTGTAGGGGCTTGTCCTGCACACTGTAAGATGTCGAGCGATGTTCCTAGGGTTTTAAGCCACACCAACGTCTTAGACAGAACTGGTTCAGGCCAGTATCTTCTCTGCCAAGAGCTCTTAGACTCACTAGAATCCCCAAACCTTTATAACTGAGTTTAGTGTCTAGTGGCCCTCTGCATCCTTGGAGTTTGGGACCACCTCAGGACACTCTGGCCTTCTGCCCAAAGGGCTCCTTGCTGCTTACCCTGAACACTGGTAATTTGTAGGCAAGTTTCCAGTATTATCCTTCAGTGGTCAAACTGCTCAATCCCTTAAAGATCTTCCCATTAGATTAGATCCCTGGGAGATGTGATATAATGTCCTCCTTTTTAAATGGAAGATATCAATCTATCTGGAAAAGCCTAAGAAAAGTTTCATCGATAGCGGGGCTACCTAACCCTAGAACTATGGAATAATCTCCTTCTTGCCCCTCCCACTCTAGTAAGATTCAGGATACCTTTCATTCAATATGGGAAGTTTAAAATCAACCCACACTTTACTCATCATTTATCTTTCCAGACTGAAGAAAAATTCATAGAAATTGAGTTCACTCACAGAGAGTACCAGATCCCGCTTGCGCCTGGAGTTCTTCTGCCCACTCCCTCTGGTCCTGCATGGGGAAGCAGTAAACCCTAGAGAGTGTCTCAGCTCCCCAGTTGCCCCTGGGCCTGATTCTTCCAAGGCACCTTCCAGCGCAGCAGCAGCACTGAGCATGTCCTCAGGGCGAGGCAGTGGCAGCTTGGTTCCATTTTCTGGCCCTGTCTCTGAAGTTGCCCGCTGAATTGCCAGTTGTGTGGCTGGTGAGAGCTGCTTGGCATAAGCAGAGACCAGCACCCGCTGTACTGCACCCTCAGAGGCCACATAATCATCCACCAGCTAAGAACATAAAAAAGAATAGCCTATTAGCCATCCAGGCTTAGGGGAACCTGGTTAACCATCAATCTTTGGCCAAGGATAATGAACAGAGTGGAAAGCAGGGGGGAATCTAACACAGTCTTTAATGGTCAATGGCTTGTTTCTGTGGGACTCCTATGGGACCGTTGGGCAAATATTTCTGTGTGTACAGGGCCTCTCATGTTGGGTCATTACCATAGGACTGATTACAAGGATAAGGCATGTTTCTGATGCTCTATTTGTAAGGGGTCATTTATGATTTGCTCTTGGGTATAAGAACTGAAGCTAGGTAAGTGTTTTGTCTAAAAGGGATTGGGGGAGGAAGTGATGACAAAAAAGGGAAAACCAAGCAAGAAAAGGAGCAAGAAAATAAAATGGTAACAAAAATAAAGAGGAGAAACAGGAGAAAAATGGGAGCAAAGGAGGGAGGTACAGAGTTAGAAATCTCTAGAGTGGCAGGCACCAACTCCCCCCACCCCTATCCCCACTCCTTTGTGGAGCCAGTCTGTGCCCTCACCTTGATCCTGCCCTGGTCACATCCAACTGTCACTGCCTTGACATCTACTTGCCTGCCTGTGCCCTCACTCAAGGACACACAGGGCAGGGAAAGGAAGGAGGGAGGAAGCGAGAGAGAGGGAAGGAGGGGGGATTTCTACAGCCAAGAAAACTAAATAGTGAAAGTGTGTGTGGGGGGGACACAGAACGAAGCGGGGGAGGAGGCTGAGATTTATAGACCTGTGAGCTGCTTTCGGCGCTGGGAAATATAATTCCATCCTGTCAGCTTGGAAACCTTCCCTGCCTGAAGGGACCACAGCTCAGGGCATTGCCTGGCCCGGTACCCTCCTGCCTCCTCCTGCCTTCCCAATTCCTCCTCCTGCAGCCCCAAACCACTGACAGTCCTGGCCAGGCACAGATTGGGGAGAATAGTAGTGGCCACCACATGGCTAGGTCTTTGGGGAGCAGTGACCAGCTGTATGACACTGGAGGGCAACAGGAGAGTTTACACATTCCTTTCTCAGATCCAGCAAATAGGCTGGGTGTTGTCTCCCTTCCATCCACCCAGTGTGTTCTGCTCCTCTACTCTACTGGGTATCTGGGCCTTGTCATGGCAGGGGGACGGAAAAGGGAAAGGGCAGAGGAAGAACCTGGTGGAGGAGAGTTGACAGACCTCCCATGGTCTTTCAAGTGGCAACATATCTGTTATTTTCCCATCTCTATGATCTCTATAGTTGTTCCATCTCCTTTTTATACTTCCATGTGTGACATTCTGCAGTTTTTACTCTACTCAGCCAGGATTTGCCTGCTCATATGGCCCTGAGCAATAAAGAAACTGAAATAGCACAAAGTACTTCAATGTCTTTTCCTGATCACAAATATGCTTGCTTGCCTCCCTCTTACTCCGTAAATTATTCTCTTACTGTTAACTCTCAGTGAACCACTTTTTTCCTCATTTTATTTCCTTTCCTCTACCTTCTTCCCACCTTACCTCATATTTTCTCTTGCATAAATTTTCTATCCATTTAGATTCACCTTTCTTTTATGCGTCCTTTTTTCACTTTTTCTCCTTCCTCAACCCTTCATTTCCACCTACCTCTTTCCCTCCCTGTCTTTTATTACCTTTGTCCTTCCCCTCTCACATTTTCCTTCTCTCTCTCTCTCTCTCTCTCATTCTCACTCTCTCTGCCTCTGCTTCTCTCCCCTCTCATTCCCATCTCTCTGTACTGAATTCCTCTTGGCAAGCAGAGGGCCCATGATAAAATATAAATGAGCCGTCTGTGCACGGCAGGCATTCTCGTCAGGAGAGACAGAGAGCATGGAGCAGCTGAGACAGCTGTAGAGGAGAAGGTGCCATACAGCTACTGCGAGAGAGAGAGAAGGGGCACCCCCATCACCACACACTAGAAATACCTCCCGCCAAAGAGGCTAGGGGTCAGGAAGAAAACAGGAGTGCTGATTATCCCTGAAGGCAAAGAAAACTTGGCACTGTTCTGTTTTATCACAAATATGACCAAAAGAAAGGTTTAGGGAGGGGGGGGGGATACAGAAAGAAAGAAAAAAGAGAAAGGCCAGGAAAAGCTCTAAGCAGCAGCAATACCCGTGTCCTGCTCTGCAGCCATACTCACAGGATTGAGCATCGGGACCCCCTCGCTGGCAGCCAAGGCACATCCCGGGAGCCGCATATCCCTCTGAGGGGCTGGGAAGCCCAAAGGCCCAGGCCCTACAGCCAAGGCTGCTCCCAGCTGCTGTTCGATCACCACCTGCACACTGCTGCCCACGCTGTCACACTCCTCTTCTTCCACGGCAGACACAGCCTTGCAACCTTCCCCAGGACTCTCCTTGAGAAGCCCAGGCTCAAGTGGTGAACCATGTGCCCGGCTGTCCTCATCTTCATCGGGGGTGGATACCTGCCCTTGCCTCAACTCACCCACTTCCTCTTGGAGACGTTTTAACAATTCATTGTTAGCCCTGGCAAGGCCCAGAGCAGCCTCAGCCAGACCCACTGCCTTATCCACCCGCTGGTAGATGATATGCAGGAGCTGCTCTGAACTCTGAACTGCCAGGCCATGTCCAGTCACTGTGATAGGGGTGCTGGAAGGAGGATTCCCACTCTGAGAGCCTGTGTTGCCCCCGCTAGTCTCACTCTTACAGGCACAGCAGCAGCATCTGGCCTCACTGCCACTGGGAGGGGAGAAGAGAATGGTGGCACTGAAGGACATGGTTGATGAAACGAGGAACAACCACGCTCACACTGCTGGGCTGCTCTAAAAGATATCCCCAGTCAACTGGACTTCACAAGTTTGGTAGGAAGCACTGGCCTCTTTGGATTCACTTTTCTTTCTCATAGAGGGTGATCAGAGGAGCCTGGACAACAGGCGGTGTATTCTGTGAAGGAGTAGGCAAGCCGTGAAGGAGCATACAGTCCATGGCTGCTTCTCCTCGCCCTGCAGAGGAGAGACAGATACCTTCTTCTGTCTGCCGATCCTGTGCTCCCCTAGCACAACACACAGGGTGTCATATTTACCCCTTACTGAAAGGGTGGTACCTACAAAGGCCTTCCTGATGAACACAGTTTCATAGGGGAGAAGGCATTCTTCCCGCACCCAAGCATGGAACTCCCTACCACTCCAACCAAAGGAGCAGAGAGGGGACTCAAAAGGACCCACCAGGATCTGAAAAGATTAGAAGATTAAGGAAGAAAATGGAGATGTTTTCTCCTCCTCACTACATTTGCTGTAATAATAATATTGCATTTTATTGCTCTGACATCATTCGTTAGAGTTCAGAACACTTCACAAAGGTTATCTCATCCATAGGGCAGCTCTAGGAAACACATATAACACCAGGTCCAGAGAAGAAACAATGTGAAAAAGTTATATATCTTTTTCAAGGTCAGAGGAAGACAGCAGAATCCAGTTATCTATTTTCAACCTAGTATTTATTTTTTTAATTGATACCACTTTTTGTTGACATAAAGAATCATGATTCTATCCTCTATAATTTTCATACAGACGCATTCAGATTAAGACTCCTAAATAAGAAATACGCTGATTACCGTAGCCCTGAACATGTCACCGACCTCACACTATTATATCATTAATGCTTTGGGGATGGGGTAGGGAAATGAAAGGAAAAGCTGAATTAGAGAATTGATCTGTAGTAACCCAGGGCTGCAGAGCCCCTTGCCCTGTGGTATACACCTAGACCTCCACCTCTGCAAAGGAAATTAACTGTTCTGAATCCTTCAGCCCGTAGCCCAAAGAGATCACTTCTGGGGTCCCTCATCTCCACTTCACATGCTCCTTAAGGGAGAGGCAAAGCTCAACAGGAATGTTTAAATAGCTAAATGCTGCCACTTTGTCCACATGACCAGCCCCCATAAAAGGAGAAACCAGAGTATCAATGGTAAACCAAACTGTCTCTCTTTTGAATCACGGTAGTTAAGCAACTAAACTACTCCAGGAGAAAGAGAAGAAAAAAAAAAGGCGTGGGAGGGTTGATTTCCACCGCTAAGAACACTCCAAGGAACTTCATACTGTCATTTTCTAAATGATACTTGATTATAGAAAAAAGAATCCTTCTGCCTAAAGCTCCCCAAGTGACAAAATCTTAAGTATGTTTACAATTACCTCAAGGGATATATTTCTATCTTACCCTGTAAACTATAACATCACAATTAAAAGGAAAGGAGGAGGTTAGGAAAGTTTTCTGTATATTGAGATTTTGGGTTTGTTTTTTTTGAGTCAGCAATCTCATTTCAGAAACAGGTAGTATCAGTGCCTCTGAGGTACTAAAGTGTAAATCTGACAATGCATTTTCATTATATTTGATTATTAAAGAATAGTCTTGCCCAGCTGGTGTGGCTCAGTGGTTGAGCGTCGACCTATGAACGAGGTGGTCATGGTTGAATTCTGGTCAGGGCACATGCCCAGGCTGCGGGCTTGATTCCCAGTTGTGGGTGGGCAGGAGGCAGCCGATCAATGACTCTCTCATCATTGATGTTTTTATCTCTCTCTCCCTTTTCCTTCCTCTCTCTTAAATCAATAAAAACATATTAAAAAAAAAAAAAAAGAATAATCTTTAATTTGTTCTTTCCACCCTTTATATCAAGAAACCCTTTTCTGCCCTGGCTGGTGTGGCTCAGTTGGTTAGAGCATCATTCACTGAAAGGTGGTGGGTTAGATTCCCAGTTTGGGTGCATACAGAAGGCAACCAATCGATGTTTCTCTCACACATCAGTGTTTCTCTCTCCCTTCTTCTCTCTAAAATCAATAAAAAATAATAAAAAACAGTTATTCTTGGGAGCATCTGAAATCTTAAAAAAAAAAAAAAGAAACACTTTTCTGTGCCAGGTATTCACTTCCTACAAGAACTGAACTCAAATCCATTATAGCTTCTCTGTCATTAGAGTCATTGGAAGGCACAACTAAGTCTAAAATGAAAGGTTAAAGCCAAATTAAAACTAAAGGTTAAAGGAAAGCACTAAGTGATTCCTATGTCAATTCATGGATGAATCATTTATATCTCCCTTTCCTTCCTAAATAATGGCCTACACTGCTCCTGCAGGGTTTTTCATTTTTTTAACCAACATCATGCAAGGAGTTTAATCTGAAACACGGGTGTTGTGAGAAAAAGAAAATTATGTAGATGGTAACACACAAATGCTTGTCATTTGGGCTCAGTTTTTATAAAATCAGAAATTAAGATGTATCAAGCTGAGACACTGACTCGGTGGGGACCTTTTCTGATACCAAACTGATGACTGCTATGCTCTTACCCCAACACTCTTCTTGCATGAGGCATTTACCCTGCCTTCATGTGCTTTCTGCTGCAACTACTCAACTCTGCCATTGTAGCAGAAAGCAGCCTTGGATAATACGGTAAACAAATGAGCATGACTGTTCCAATATTTTATTCACTGACATGGAAATATCATAAAATATTTAATATTTACATTAAATTTACATAAACCATTCTTAGCTCGTGGGCCATACAAAAATGGTGGTGGGCCAGATTTAGTCTATGGGCTATAGTCTGCTGACCCCTGTTTTAGAAACCTAAGGGTGGAAGAATTAGAGATGAGGAGACTCTTTAAGTAATCAAGGAGTGATTTGATGAGAATGAGAGGGCTGTGGATATAAAGGTTCAACATCCTGAAGGGAGAGCTGATAATATTTCTTAATAAATATGAGGGATAGAGATATTGGTTAAAGACAACTTCAAGATTATAAGCCTGGAGGTCAGAAGATGGTACCATTGATGTAATGATAGAAGTGAGGAAGCTGAGAGGAGGCACTAGCATGTTAGAGACATGTATTTATTCAACATGTTAAATTTCAACTGATGGCAACATCTTTAAATAAAATGTACTGAAAGCAACTGGCTAAGACTGAGAAACAACTAAGAGGAAAGTCAGAGATGGAATGCAGATTTGAAATCTTTAGCAGGAGGTTTACAGTAGAAACTGAGCGAGTGAATGAGTTCAGCAAGGGGTAAATATAAAGTGCGAAATGCAAAGGCCAAGGACAGCACTTCAAGCCAATCCACGGAAGGGGCTTCATTAAAAGAGAAGAATGGTCAGTGAGGTGGGAGAAAAACATTGTTATGAAAGCCAAAGGAGACAGAATGTCAAGAAAGTTGATCTAATCAATGGTGACAAGTGCAGCGGAATGATTTAAAAAGATGAAAAAAACTTGTCTGTGATGGTCACTGGCAATGACCAGAGATATATATTTTTTGTAATGAAAGTAATACTATGTAGTAGTAGATGAAAGAGGAACTGATGGAAAGAAAATGGGAGCACAACATGAAGTTTTCTAGAGTTCAGTTATGAAAGGAAGAAAGGAAATAGGAAAGTAGGACTTTAGTATATTTAAAATGCAGAGAGAAAATGGCCAGTGAAAAAGGAAAGAATGATGCTATTAGAAAAGGATTTAAGTTTTTTCTCCTAACAAGGATCCTCCCAATGTGAGAGGAAGGAAGGTGAGCTCTTCCCTAAGACTGCAGAAAAGAAAAACATGAACGCAGGGACAGATTCATTGAGGTGGAGAGAGGAAGAAAGAGTTGTATACTACACTTTCTTTTTACTTTGGACTTTCCACAGTACGAGTAATTCAAATTGGTAACAGGCACTGCTGCATTATCTATTGTTACAACCTGTTCAGTTCTTTTATAACACTCCAGGCCTAATATAATTATTCTTACTTTTTTCCATTACTAGCTTAAGGTTCTGAAGCTCATTTAACCCTGCCACATTATTAACATGCCTAACCTTTTTTTGCTCTTACTTCTCAAAATGTGTAACTTTAATTCAATAACCAATGAAGCAATACATGGAGTACCTGGCAAAGCAATGGTTAACTGTAGTAAATTAACCAGGCAGTATCTATAACATTATTAAACACTGATATTGTCCACTTATGCAATTTCAGTACGCTAACTTATCTTAACACAGAGTTCATATTTTTGTTCAAGAAAGAAAAAATAGGAATTAACTAAGATTGACCACCATAGAAAAACATACATGCCTTTTGCAAAATGCTATCAACTTTTAAAATTGAGTGTTCAGAAAAAAATCTCCAGTCTTATGATGAGCTGTCAACACAAAGTGACAGCAGCTGTCAAATGTAAGTTTGCATAAAATATGTGTTTGGGGTTCGTTTCAGTATTGCTCTAATTTTAATACATGTGAAAGGAGCCTAGAAAATGTACTTTTCAATAATTTTGATATTTTACTCACAAATATTTGAATAAAAAAAGAAAACTCATCTTTAGACAGACAGTTCAGGGTGAGACTGCCCATAATCTTAACTATCCCTTTCCTTCCAAGTCACATGTATTTTTTTAGAACTAAATATATCATACACTTGGCAGCTCCCTTGCGTGCTTCCTACCCATTCTGAGTTTGAATTTTCTGCATGACTGAGTTCACCTCCAAAATATGAAAAATAAAAAGTTTTTTCACTACTAGATGTGTATGATATGGTATCACTCAGATGATGCATGTTTTTATAATGGGCCCTTGACTCATCCAGGGTCATGCTAGCTATGGGCTTCCTTAAATATGATTACTGAGAGCATAGCAATTCATGCCATTATTATTTTAAATAAAAAAGGAAAATGCCACTTAAAACTCCTGCTGTGCTGGTCAGCCCCACTCCTCCACTTGAAGGTGCAAAATGGCTCACTTGTTAAAAGGTCCTCTAGAAACCTACTTCTTTTAGAAATGAGCTCTTTATCACACAAGAGTAGATAAGCAAATAGCATAAATTACTATTGTCCTGCAAAGGAAACCTAAGACCTCATTTTAGGGGCAAAAAAGAGAGAGGTAGATCCAGAGGGCAGAATCAGGTAGGAATGAAAAGGATTCCACCTAATCCAATAAATTCCAAGAATAATTGTAGAGTGGTATGAGTTTTTAATCCAGCGTAGCAGTTTTTATCTACATTAGCTAAAATGCAACTTGGCAAAATTAAATTTTCCAGTTTAAGCTTTTCATATAAATGTGCCTGATGTTTAAAGGATTCTTCCTGCATTTCTGGAGAAACTGAAAAATAAAAAAACTAAAGCTATATCATGTGCCCAGAAAGCACTTGGTAAATGTTAGTTGATTATATATTACTCAAAGATGACAAGGTGGGCACCAGGGGCAGAACTATATCCGAATAGACAGTGTGATTCAGATACAGGCAGGGCGACCGCAGTGACGCAGGGGGAACCGAGCTCACGTAGTGCCTCCGAAGCCACAAGGAACAAGGCGACCCGCTCCTGAACCCAATCCTAGAGCGTGTCCTGGGAGTCCCGGGGAAGGGCATGATTCCCCAGGGGGTAGTGGCCAGCAGAGTGGCCCAAGGCGCGCTCGGGGATCTAGCTGGGATACCGTGAGTAGACTACGTGACCACGAAAGCTCTGCGGTCTTCAGCTGAGGACGCCTCTCCCGCAGTGGCACCTCTGTGGCAGCCCTATGGTGTCCCACCGCACGGACCCCGCACCACCCCGCCAGCTGACTCAGCGCCACCAAATCCCGCGCGCCTGCAGCTGAAGGACACCAGGGCGCCTGTCCGTGTACCGGCCCAGCACGCGCACGCAGGGAGGCACCGCCCCGCTTGTCCTCTGACTCCCTATGATTGGCGGTTAGAATATGGGCGGGGAGCAGAGCCCGGGGCGCTACTGGCTCCAATCCACAGTCACTCAACGAGCCAGGGAGGGGAGGGGCCTCCTCAGGGAGGGACACGACTGCAGGCTTTTTCAAGGCCCGTCAGGCGCCATCTTTAACTTGTTTTTTTGTTATTTACTTGCTTTAGTTTGCTGCTTAGAAAGCTGCGTGCACAAGATTATAAATACAGTGGCTACAAATAGTTTTTTGTGTGTGTTTTTTTCCACACGTCGGCTTCATACTTTTAGTGGTGGGAGGCTTTTCGATTCTGCGGGGCTTGGTCACAACTCCCTCAGATGTCACTAGCAGTTCCCCTTAAAGACGTTTTCACCTCTAGGGGCCTCGCAGATTCCCAAACAAAATCAACTAAGTTTAGCTTTGCTTTGCTTTGGTAGGAAGGCCAAGCCAAGATATATTCGTGAGAGGAATTATCTTTCTTACAAAGAATGAAACTCAAAGCAAGGATATTGGATATGGACCTAGGGTCCTAGTAAAAAATAGCCAGGAAGCCAGGGGCTTGGGCTGTGTTCCACTCTAGGAAGAGCCCCTCCTTTTCTGGGGATCTAAAAAGTGAGGCAAAAGGTGTGTGTGACGACCTGCAGTACTGCGGAAAAGAATTAGAAAGGGTAAAACTCCATTATAAATTTCCAGTACTGCCACATCACAGAAGTCACTAGAATCTGACTAGATTTCTGGAGTATGCAGGTCTAAACTTGTAGAATGATCCACATTTGAGACTGTATTTGTTAAGCACTGATCTGGCTTGCATTGTTAGGGGGAAAAATACATTCAGTTCAGGTAAGAAACGCAGAGAGCCCCCGGAGGGCCACTTTCATTATAATGGATTTCAAGGACTGTACAAATAATTTTACCGCTGTATTTTGGTATCTCAAATATTGCTTGAAGCTAGGGCACTAGGTGAAGAATGGCAATGTATTATCATCATACACATTGTGGTAATGAAATTTGAACTCTACAGTAGATCCTTTTATATCTCTTGGTTGCTACTACTACACTTTGGACATTCCAGTTTCTCCCTCATCACCCCATATATACTTCAATGCTTTTACTCCAATCTGCGAACATAGAGTTGACTATAAATATTTTGTGTATAACTCCTAATTAAGGAGACAGTGGTTCTGTAACAAAATGAAGTGAGAATATAGCTCATATAACTGGAGGTTCTGCTCTAAGCTTGTTGTCCTCTAATTCATGTACTTTTCTCTGTAACTTAGATGTGAGCAGGCTTTTTATTTTAAAAATGCAACATGATAAAAAAGCATTTCTCATCCCTCCTATTTATTATTTGCCTTTGCCTTCTCTGACCCCCACCACTCATCACCCACCACTAACCACCACCGTGAACAATTTTTCAGAATTGGATTTGACTGGGTTATTTTCCTGATACTTTGCCAGCTGTGGAGCTTTTCAAACAAATCCCAACCTATAAACGACAATTTTGTCAAAAAGCCAAGAGAGAACTTCCCTTCTTGAACACACCAACCAAACCACACATAAAGGCCAAAATATACACAGCTGTACACTTAAGAACAGGAGACAATAAAAAGTAAAACCACTTAGGCAAAACAGTCACTAAAAAAGGCTTTGAATCACAGATTCAATAAATTGCCTACCCTCGTTTGCCACATGGACTGTATATTCCCTGGCAATTATTTAATTATTCACCAATCTTATCCTTTAGAAGAGGAGCAGGAAAATAGAGTAAATGCACACAGAATGAAAGTGCTTGAGTATGCTACATGGTGTAGAAATTCTTCTAAACTTGAACTTGCACACAAAACCCTGTTTTGATCACATTTGGGAACACAACAGAAAAAAATTCACACCCTAGGGGCTACTTTGCACACATAAAACCAAAGGCAATCACTTTTGAAAACAAAATCTAATATGGCACGTATACACATACTGTACATATACACAAAGCCCAAAACCCCAAGATAAACCTTTAGGATATTATTTGCTTCATGAAACACACACGTACTCATGAAAATGTAAGGCACACTGTAAAAAGGGCTTTGACCCACTCCCCAGGGAAATGAGTGTCACAATTACAATATCCAAACATTTTTAACCTATTGGCCTTGGACAACTGCCACATTCAAGCCACTTTTTGGTTCGGCGTGAGAGTGTGTAAAACGCACGCAAACAGCTTTGTGAAGGAGTCTTAAACCTCCGCTTCCTTCGACGTTGCCAGTGGCAGAAATTTACATGATCCCTTCAGCCCGCTTAAAAAACGAAATCTGTACTTCCCGAGCGGCTACATTTTTAAAATCCCTCGACCATAAAAATTTACCAGTTCTTAAAATGTGATAGTAAAAAGAAAAAAAATCTCTATAATTTTGGCTGGAAACAGTTGTACACGACCATCCTGCTCCTCAACTTCTTGGTATATTTAAAACCTTGACCAGGAAAAAGAAAGAGGAAGAGAGACAGAAAAAGAAATGGGGGAAAGCGCAAATTCCCCTTAGCAACAGTTTCCTCACCCCAGCACTGCCATAGATCTCTATTTTTAAAAATTTTGAACACACACACAGATTAAAGAGGGGGGTAAAAAATGGAAAAAGGATACCCGAAGGTCGTATGGCTCTTTGTATTCGTGTGTGTGCAAAAAGGAGGACTCGCGGAGCCGGAGCCGGC